CATAATACAAATTTCAAGTTGTTGTACTTAAAGCAAAATTAATATCACTTGAGATTTTCAAAGCTGATTTGTCTCGCACGGGACAGTTTCCCCTTTTAACAAATCCTGAATTGTTTCATTTGAAACAAAATAAACACTTTTGAAAAACCTTTGAGATTATTTCCATATAAACAATATCGGCAATCTTTGAATCTTTTTCTCTTAAAGCGAATTTTGTCTCTCTGGAGACAGTTTCTCTTGAGATAAATCTTTGAGTCTGTTCCTTTTGAATAAAAATCTTGGAGTTAGTTCCTTTTGAATAAATATCTTTGAGTTGTTTCTTTTGAAAAAATCTTTGAGTCTATTTATTTTGAAACAAAATTTTGTCTCTCTTAAGATAATTTCTTTTGAAACAAAAATCTTTGAATCTGTTCTCTTAAAATGAATTTGTATCTCTTGAGACCGTTTCTCTTGAAGTAAAATCTTTGAATATGTTCATTTTGAAATCTTTGAGTTTGTTTCTCTTAACAAAATCATCTTTGAGTCTATTTCTTAAAAACAAATGTGTCTCTCTTGAGACAGTTTCTAATTAAAAACTAACTTTTGAGATTGTTTCATTTGAAACAAATTTGGTCTTACTTAAGATGTGATTCATCTTTGAGTCTATTTCTTTTGAAACAAAATTTTATCTCTTAAAGACAATTTCTTTTGAGAAGAAAATCTTTGAGTTTGTTTCCTTTGAAAAAAATTTCTCGAGACAACTTCTTTTGAAAATACCCACCTTTGAGATCGTTTCTATTAAAACAAATTTTGTCTCGCATGATACAATTTCCTTTCAATGTCATCTTTGAGTCGTTTCCCTTGAAACGAATTTTGTCTCTTGAAACATTTTCTCTTAAAACAAGATCATCTTTGAGTTTGTTTCTCTGGAAACAAGGTTTTATCCCTTAAAACAGTTTCTGTTGAAACAAAATTTTGTCTCACTAAGATACAATTTTCTGAAAAACAAAGTTTTGTCTCTTATGACAATGTCTTAAAAAAAATCATTGAATCTCTTTCTTTGGAAACAAAATTTTGTTTCTCTCGAGACAGTTTCTTTGAGAAAAATCTTTGAGTTTGTTTCTTTGGAAACAAAATTTTACTATCATTTGAATCTGTTTCCCTTGAAACAAAACAAACAAAGTCTTTGAGTATGTTTTTCTTGAAACAAAAACATCTTTGAGTTTGTTTCTCTCGAAACACTGATCTTTGAGATCAATTCCCTTTAAACGAATTTTGTCTCATTTGAGACAGTTTCCCTTTAAACGTCATCTTTGAGTCGTTTCCCTTAAAACGAATTTTGTCTCTTTTGAGACAGTTGCTTTTAAAAATATCATCTTTGAGTTTATTTTTCTTGAAACAAATCTTTGGGTTTGTTTCTTTTGAAACAAATCTTTAATTTGGTTTCTCTTGAAACCATAACTCCTAAAGATGGCCAGCCGTCCTCATCACGTAGGAATCGTGTTATCACCTTTAGATGGCCAGAACTCTTCATCACGTATGAGCCGTGTCATTCCCCAGACCAGATCTCTTCATCACGTATGAGCCGTGTCAACCATAGATAACCAGCCGTCCTCATCACGTAGGAACCGTGTTATCACCTTTAGATGGCCAGAACTCTTCATCACGTATGAGCCGTGTCATTCCCCGACCAGATCTCTTCATCACGTATGAGCCGTGTCACCCTAGATAACCAGTCGTCCTCATCACGTAGGAACCGTGTTATCACCCTTCCTAAAGATGGCCAGAACTCTTCATCACGTATGAGCCATGTCATCCACCAACCAGTCGTCCTCATCACGTAGGAACCGAGTTATCATCCACCCTTAGACGACCAGACCTCTTCATCACGTATGAGCAGTGTCGTCCCCAACAACCAACATTATCCAATTTATAGGAAAAAGGGAGAGAACCTGACAAAAACGTGATGTCTTGTCGTCTTTGCCCTATTCTTGTTAACACCAGAATGTGCAAAGAGGGGCAGCTGTAGACACCCGTTTTTGTCCGGGTCTTTTTTATTATTATTTATTTATATATATTTATTATTATTTATTATTATTTATTATTATTATTATTATTATTATTATTATGTTTATTAATTACATATTACAACATTTTGTGCAGGCCATCCACTTAAGCCCAACTACAATCAAAACCCAGACCCGGTCCAACAACCCAGTAGATGACCCGAACCGGCCCACTTGACAACCCAGCTAGGGTTTCATCTCAATGTTCCAGCCGCCTCATTTCTGGCCATTGGATCTGGACCCATCCAACGGTCCAGATCACGCAGAGCTTAGGGTTTGAAACCCTAAAATATCATCAGCTCAGCCGTTTGGCCTTCCAGCTCCAGCCGCCGCTTGACTCCTCAACTTCCCAGCCGAGCCTCACCCCCGACAGCCTCTGACGCCGGCCACCTACCGAACAGTGATAGATGTCCATCAAACAGAGATTAGAATCATATCATTCAGTCAGACAATCCAAGAAAAATAATGAAATCTCCTAGAAGCCTAGGAAATCATTTCCTATTAGATCTATCAGACCCCAAACGCATGCAAAGATAAAAACAGAAGGCAATGGGGATTTGAGGGGGGGATTTTTTTTAGAGAACGGAGACAGGAGAGATTCAAAACAAAAAAAAAATGGAGAAAATAAACCTTACCTCTGTTCGAAGCCGTTGAACACCGAAGGACTGTTTTCCAAGTTGTCCGAGAGGTAATCCATAGATCTATTGGGATAAGTTGAGTTTTAGGCTATGGGGAGGTTGGATCGAGGTAGAGGAGGTTGAGAGGAAAGTTTCTGGTTTTTTCTCTTTCTCTCCGGCCACCTCCGGCCACCGCGGCTCCGCCGTGCGCCGTCGCGGCTCCGCCGTTGTTCTCATTCTCCAACAGGAGAAGTTGAGAGAGTTTTAACTCTCTCTCTTTCTCCATTTTCTGAAATGGAACCAAATGAGAAATGGGGGAGGAAATAAGCCGGTTTTGGGCTTATATTTCCAAACCGAAACGACGTCGTTTTAGGGGTTCAGGGTATGCGTGTTTCAGCATGAAAGGGTAAATAGCCTATTTGGTCCTCGCATCTTTGTAACATCTTACTCGTGTTTCTCATATTAAAAGGGGTAAACCACGCTTTTGGTCCCTGATCCTTTGTAACTGCACGATTTAGCCATGGAATGAAGTTTACATTATTTCAATTTGAGCCTTTATCTTTTCACTTTTACATTTTAGTCACTATCCTAGGTATTATAACATTTTTTGTTTATATTTGGTTCTGGTTTCAATATTTATAAATGTTACATCTTAGCCACTGATTTAATATTTCATGTATGTTTCTTTGATATTCGAATCTGGCCATCACATTTATAAATATTTTATTTTAGTCCTATTAATGTATGTTATGTCATTTTTGTGGATATTTGACTTTGGTCCCAATGTTTGTAATAGTTTCATTTTAGTCCTAATTTCTTGTGTTATGATATTTTGTGGGTGTTTGAATTTAGCCATCATATTTGCAAATGCTCTATTTTGGTCACTGTCCGACATTTTGTTTAATTATTTTTTGATCCTCCGTATTTCTGTGAAATTGTTTTAGTCCTCATTTGCATGGTTTGTGTAATTATTTGATTTTACGCCTTAGAGTTTAGATTTGTTTCATTTCAGTCCATATTTGGTTATTTATTTCAATTTCATTAGTTTTAGTTTAGGCTATGATATTTATGATAATTTTATTTTAGTCACTTATTACATGTGTTGTGTGATTTTGGTTGATGTTCGAATTTGGCCCTCAGATTGGTGCATCTTTTATTTTAGTCACTGTTTTGGCATTTGGTTTAAATATTTTTGATCCTTCATGTTTCTGTGTAATTTCAGTTTGGTCCTTAACTTGTGTTTCTTCGACTTTAGCCCTTTAAAATTCATGTTTGTACTATTTTGGTTCTTTGAGTTTATGTGTTTGCTATTTTGGTCTTTGAAATTTCAAGTACTTTATTTTTGGTCATTATAGTTGGGTTTGTAATATTAATTTTCTTTTATTTTAATTCTTTATGTATGTACATGTTTTTTATGTTATGTATTTGTATCATATATAAAAATATATTTGACTATATTTGTTGTAAATATTGTATTTTGCATATTTCTATTTATAGTTATTTATATTGCATTTTTTTATTTAAATATTGTTCGAATGTTTTCAAGAACACAAATTTGTAGAACGTGCATGGAAAGTATCACTTGATCGAAGTGATACAATCCGATATGACATTCGAACAAATGTGAACTTGAAATTAATTTGATTTTATTTTGCTAATCCATTTCATTTTAAATCGAACATTGCAATGAATGTCTCTAAATGATAATTAATATCATTTCAGGCAAATTATCAATCTTTATTCTACAATGTATATTCGTTTTTTTATCAATTTATTTTGTTGTATGTAAATATCGTTTTTTTATATATTCCATTCGTATTTTTGTTAATGAGGGAATATTCTTTTATGGATAAGAAATAGTCGAAATAGCTTTCTCGATGGAGGATTGTTAATTTCGAGGTTTCTTTTTGAATTAAAGAATTTTCCATAACATTCAGTAATATGAGGCAAATTAAATAAATCTCAATAAATTGATAATAGTTTAATTTTATATTCGATTCATCGTTTCCACCACTACGACAATGCGTAAATGACACAGTACCAATTTTGGGCACTGTGGGGGTGTTTACCCTTCCCCACACGTAACCGACTCCCGAATCCATTAAATTGAATCTTTAGTAAACGCAGACCATCTTTGTCTTAAAAAATGATTTTTTTTCTTAAAATTGTTTTTAAAAGATATTTTTAGGTATTCGACCTACCTAACCTAAAGGTCGATGGCGACTCTTTTCTATTTTATTCAAATCAATTCCAAAATCACCAAATTTTCCAAATTAAAGTCATAATTGTTTTTAAAAATAATATTTAATTGTTTTATAAAAAATGGTTATGACAATTTGAATAAAACAACATTACATCTACTGTCTGCTACTTGCAAGCAATCTTTTCATCACTGTCATTCAGAATAAAAACATGGATGACCACAATATTTAAGTCAAAACAGCAGCAGAGACTACACATATTTCCCTCTGTATTTGAGCTTTGATTCTTTACTCACTTTCGCATCACCTGATTCAACAACCTCTGCCGGACTGAAAACAGAAGAGTGAAGATTGTTACCCTCTTCTAACCACTTGGCATGATTCTCCTTGAACTCCAAATGCTTTATCCGAGCCGCCAATGCGAGTTCCTCGGTGTATGGGGATGTCTTTACCATGGTGAGTAAAACCCGACTATATCTCGAGCTGAGTATCTGTTCAGAACTGGCAACCAACTCGAAACATGGATGCTCCGGGAAATGATCTTCCGACGAATCATCTTCTCTAGACACGGGATAAAAGAACACAAGCCTGCCACCCTTTACAAGCATCCTAGCAGCAAGGTCAAGCAAGTCGTGCACACACTCGGCTAAGCTATAAGGTGCAGTTGATGGTATATGGTCTGCCCTTTTGTCATCGGGGACAGTGTAAGGTCCAACAACTCCCTTGAGCAATTTTCGACCACCGGATTTCCGTCCGCCAGCCCGAACACCATATGGCGGATCACAAATTATTGCATCAAACACCTATTCAAAAGCAAGAGAGAATACTTATACATCAAATAAGTAGGATACACTAGATCACAAAGGTTGCTTTGAAACTTGAGCACTTTCTCAAACAATACTAGTTTACATCAATAACACATTACGATGGCATAGCAAACTAAGCAAATGTATCGGCTACATAATATGTGTTTTTCAATTATCTTCAATCAAAACAATACTTGAGAGGAATGTGATAAACAATCATAGAGGTGGAACAAATCAAATTCACATACCAATAAAGAATCCACTAACATATTCAACAGAAAGCAATTTTTACAAGAAATTACCTCCTTTAATCCGGGACGCCAAGGAGGAAGGTTGTTATCTGCCCTCAACAAACCAATTGGCATTGGCAATCCGTACTAAAAAAGATGCAGGGAAAATGAGCAAATAATCTCATGCAGATCCATTGCAGATAGATTTAAGGAAAAAGGAATTAATTACTAGTTATGTTACAGATTCACCTGCTTGAAGTTGCTCCAGACATTACAGTCAGGGCCAAGCCCATCACGCACTACTCGAATGTCAATATCTGCACCCTTAATGAATTCAAGCAATTTGTCAGCACACAAATTACTGCAAGGATGTTGCTCATATGATTTCCAAAATCAAAGCATTGGGGTGAAGAATAAATCAGACAAAACAAGAAAAATACAACACCATCGTCATGGCTCCAAAGCGAGCTGCTGAAACAAGAATGCTCCCCGTGCCAACAAAAGGGTCATACACAAGTTTCCCAGGGGCAGCCTGTGCTTGATTGGCCATTAAGAAAGCCATTTCTGCATCCATTGCTGTCGGGCCAAGATAGTTTCGGCTTTTCAATTGATACGTGGGGATAAGTTTCCTATCTGCTCCACCAACTTCCCTACCAAAGAATATTCTCCTTTGTGCAACTGGCGGAAGCCCGTTGTTAGTTGCAGAATCATCAGTTTCCATGAGCCAGAAATTGATATCAGGATTCTTTAAATTAACTCGACCCTGCAAACATGTTAATCACAGTTACCATAGCAAAGACGATTTATGTAATCCGGACTCTTTAATGTTTTAAATATCCATATCTGGCATATCTGTTCTGTACTTAGTTGGACATATGGAAAAACTTAAAAGAAAATAAAGCATTTGAGTGCCAGACACATTCCTAGCCAACACTCATGGCAAGTTTGGTAACATAGAGATACTGATAGAATATAATTAAAAAAAAGGTACCAAAATACGATATATTTTAGCTTGGACTCTTCATTCTGCTTGAAGTATCCTCCAAATACCATGACTATGTAAGATACATACTCATCCCCAAAATTCACACCCAAATCTAGTATCATGGCATAACATTTCGTTTTTCCCTATTCTTACATGCCCCAACTATGGCTTTACTGTTCCAAAGGAAATTGGTGATCCAAAGCAAACTTAACAATCAACAAAATCAAAGTAAGAATCAAACCTTGAAAGGAATATAAGAGAGTCCCCGAATCCGTTCATTATGCTCCTGAAGGCTCATAACCTTCCCGAAACTATCAACAGTAATCTTAAACGTACTTTCAGACCCCAAATGTGGCAACTTACGTTCATCCGGGTAGCTTTTAATAGCCTCTTCAAGCTCCTCATAGCTAGTTCCTTCACCCCAAAGTTCATAAATCCCCTTCACCAGTATACCTACAAAGGGATCCTCAAAGTTTCAAGAATGAAAAAACAATTTTTCAAAAGTGAAAGAAAATATAAAAAAAGGAAGTTCGGGTGGTACTTACTTCGATTAGCGACGTTCCTGGCGATGCCTTCGGTAGGCAAATCGACGAAATGGAAAGGGGAGTCAGGGTGATGGTGTTGGGGCAGCCGCCATCGTAAAACCCTGTTGCTCCGGTTGTCTTCAAAAGCTCCGAAAAGGTCGGCCAAAGACTCGACTTCAGGTTTCCGGTAATCGAGCAACCTGTGGTAAAACACACATAAGTACCACATCGATGGTGTTCGGAAACGGCTTTTGCAAGCTCGAGCGGGAAGAGAAGGACGACGGAAAATAAACCAGGCCAGTATGACATAAATCCAAACTCCAAAACCCTCTCTTTTTTGTCTAGTTCATTATGAACGGTGCCGTTTAGTCAGGGCTAAGCCTGTCTTGCAAGTCTAATTTCATACTCAGTCACTATACTTTTTACATGTTTATAATTTAGTCATTGATCTTGATTTTATACTCATTTCATTTAGTAATTGAAATTCAATGGATACACCTCAAAAACTATCGTTAAATTAGATTAGGTGACTTTTTTAACAAAATTTACTCATCTGCCGTTATTGAAAGCTTAAACAACTGCCTTTTATGAATTTATAATCTTTTAGTTTAATATAAAAATAAGTATTCAAACTATATTATTTTTCTCATTTAAGTGTTTAAATTATTTTTCAATCAATTCAGGTATCTAACGTTATAAACATTATCACTTTAAATGTTCCAATAGCAACGACCGTTAAAAATTTATGTTAAGTAATATGTTTTGTATTCTGATAATTTTGAAGATTTTATTTTTAAAAAAAATTAAAAATAAATTATTATATTTAAAAAAAATAAAAAATAACTCCTCACCGCCTCCTCCCGTCTCAGTTGCCCTCTCCCCCCAACCCCATCCCACTCGTTCCCCCTTACCCCCAGCTCCCCTCTCGTCCCCCTCCCTCCCTCGAGTTGGCCCATCCCACTCGTCCCCATTCTCCCATGCTCCATTCCCCTTCTTCCCCCTAGCCCTTTCTCGCCCCTCCTCCTCCTTTCTTCTCTTCTTTTACCTAATATTAGTATTTGGTGACCGACGTGAGTAGAAGTATTAGAATAAATGTTTTCAAATTTTGAGTTTTTAAAAAAATCAAAAAATTTAAGTTTTTTTAAAAGAAAATATATTTTAAATAAAATCTTCAAAATTACAAGAACATGACATGTGTCACTTAACGGGATTTCTTAGCAACATAATGGTCGGGCACTTAGATTGTTAACGTTTGTAATGTTAGGCACCTAGATTGACCGGAAAATAATTTAGGCACCTAAATGAAAAAAAGAGTATTGTTTGGGCACTTATTTTTATATAATTTGACCAAAAATAGTATTTTTTTCATTTTGTTGATGTTTCTTTTAGAGTTAGATTTGACGTTATTCCTTCGATTAATATTTATTTAATTATCTTACTGATATATTCTTATTTTGAATAATCAAATTAGTTATTTCATGTTGATATGTGTTGCAATTACCTTAAAAATATCGCAATTGAGTTGTGGTCAAATTAATTGTGAACATGTCATCATTGTTATATACATTTTTGTGTAAGTGATTATAGTCTTATCCTTCACCATCAATTATAATATTTATTTATATTTTTTATTTGTCTTAAGAGTTTAATTGAGTTTTTTTAATTATTTTTTATAATTAACTTTTTATTATTAATGATTAATCAAAATTACTAGAACGTGACATGTGTCGCTTAACGAAATTTTTTAACAACCGTTATGGCAGGGGCACTTAGATTGGTAACATTTGTAATATTAGGCATATGGATTGACCGAAAAATAATTTAGGCACCTAAATGGAAAAATTGTATTGTTTGAGCACTTATTTTTATATAATTTGACCGAAAAATAGTATTTTTTTCATTCTTGTTGATGTTTTTTAGGGTCAAATTTGACGTTATTCTTCGATTAATATTTATTTAATTATCTTACTGATATATCCTTATTTTAAATACTCAAATTAATTCTTTCATGTTGATAGGTGCTCGCAGCTACCTTAAAAATATCACACTTAAGTTGTGATAAAATTATTTGTTAACATGTAATCTTTGTTATATATATTTTTGGGTTAGTGTTGATAGTCTTATCCTTCACCATCAATTATGATATTTATTTATATTTTTATTTGTCTTAAGAGTTTAATTGAGTTTTTTAATTATTTTTTATAATTAACTTTTTATTATTTAATGATTATTTGCGCTCTTTTATAATTATCGATTAATTACATTTTTATTTATTTATTCACTTTCTATCTTGTATATAATGTCCATGTCAACAATTTCTTCAAATGAGAAATAATTTAATGTAATAGTATTATCTATATTACAATTATAAAACTAAAATAGTTATAAAAATAAACTTTTAATATAAAAAATAGTTAATTGCATCATATATCCTCAAACTACGATCTTCATTTTAAATTGGTCCTTTAACTTTTAAGTATTTCTGTTTCATCCCCAAACTATGACTTTCATTATAAATTAATTCTTAAACTTTTGAACATTCCAATTTCATCCCTAAACTATGACTCTCATTCTAAATTGGTCCCCAAACTTTTGAATCTTTCAATTTTATCCCAAAGTCATCCAAATATGTAATTAGTTTTAAGCATAGTTTAACCTAAATTTTATTTTTTTCAAACATATAATAATATAAGTTGCCTAACGATTTTATTAACAAATAATGTGATTTGTATATACATATTGTTTGAGACGACATTGAAATGGTTAAAAAGTTTGGAGACCAATTTAGAATGAGGGTCATAGTTTGAGGATGAAAATGAAAAAGTTCAGGGCTAATTTAGAATAATAGTCATAGCTTAAGGATGAAATTAGAATATTTAAAAGTTTAGAGACTAATTTAGAATAAAAATCATAATTTAAGTACATGTGATACGGTTAACTCAAAATAAAATTTAAAATGTGCAAAGAATATACGGACATGAGCATAAATATGGTTATAATTATCAAATTAAAATAGTTATAAAAATAAATTTGTAATAAAATATGGTATGTTGGAGCACCGGAGCCCCTATAGCTCAGTGGTAGAGCGTCACTCTTGAAACTAAAGGTCTTTAGTTTGAATGATTGAGACTCTTTCGAATATATACTACTTTATAATCACCAAAAAAAATATTTGGAGAATCAATTTCTATATATGATTTATTTGTATTTTTTAATAGACGATTGCAAGGTAATATTTTACCATGAAATTATTCAATATATTTATACATATAATTTCATTAAAAATATATATTCTCATCTAAAATACAATTACTCCTAAGAAAGTTAATATTATGAGATCCAAAAATAATAAATGAAGGGCTAGAAAACAACAAATCACTATGTAAAAATGGACCAGATACATTTCCATTGATAAGATCAGAAAACACCCCAGAAACCTCATCATAGGAAATCGATCGAAAAAGTAAAAAGTTAATCCACTTGACAATTACATCTGCCACCATATTAATTTCACAGTAAAGTCAGTTAACAACCCCTATTATCCAACATCTTGGGAATTGTTGGAACCAAACCTGAAGATGTTCAAAACCATAACAAGAGTTTTTGAAAATCAAACAATCAGTCACCAGATGAGTTTTGGAAGACCCCTCCCATCAACCCAGCTCCAAAACCTGTGTAACCTTTGACAGTCTCTTAAAATGTGCCAAATGAAGAGTGGAATACGTTAAAAATTCTAAATTATTGTATATTTTAATTTTTTTTATATTTTTATTAATAATTTATTTTCACTATCCTTTAAATTTTATAAGTTTAATATATTTTAAGATTTTATAAATTTAATTCTAACATAAAATCATATGTTCGTACGTCGAAGAATTTGAAACTGTCAAACTAGATTCCACTTGGGATCCCTTCTATACGCGAGCAGTAACTCATAAGCATTTTCAACACCAAAATCATGCTTAGGAGGGAGAGGCTAAAAAAATACAACTTATTAATGTAAGACTAAAAAAATAATGATAGAACTCGATTATAACCGAAAATTTTATCCGAAACATAACATTTTAGGTTGGACAGAATAACATTTTGAGATGAAAAAATGTGAAAATTTTAAAATATAATTTGTTAAAATAAAACTCAAAAAAGATAGAAAACGGTTACAACAAAAAATCTTATAAAGAGAGTAAATTTTTTGATTGAACATAGTAATATTTTAAGTTGAAATTGGAAGTGTTATATTCAGAGCCGGTCCAATGAATTATAATGCTCTGGGCAAGATAATAGGTGTTGCCCACCAATGAACCATCTTTTCCCTTACATAAACTATGGGATACTGTTCCACAGTTAGGTTGCTGTAAAATTCCCAAACTAATTGTTGAATTATATCGCTCGGGTGAACACAAAAAATTTCCCATTCCAGCTTCGCTATAGTGTTGGTGATATAGGCACAGGCATGTGGGTCTTCAACAGAGAAGAGATCGAACCCCTTTTCGTAGCAAAAATAATTACCAGAAAACTCCTCATTATAATGGTGTTAGTGTTCAACATCAAGGAACTGTACTAGAGACGTGTTGGAGACTACTAGTGACACTGTTAACGGTGCATGCGGTGGTGGAGTCGGTGTGCGAGGAGAAGCCTTCATGGTTATCTTCTTCTTTGGAGCCATTAATAGAAGTAGGAAAAAAGGACTCAACGAGCAAAGAAAAAGAAAGGATTAAAGAAAAATGTGAACTTTAAGATTTTGAGAAGTAACGGCTGGAAGAGAAGAAAGAAGAAGGAAAAGAGAAAGGTAAAGGTGGGTTACTAGGGTTGGAGGGGTTTTAATGCTTTGGTAAAAAATGGGATAAATATGATAATGTTTTATCTCTCTCTCTAATTTGAAATTGTATGGTTGGATAAGGATAAAGGAGGGAGAATGAAAAGAAATTTGAATGGATAATAAGTATAAGTTTAATTGGACGGTTGTGATGGTGAAGTGAAAAAGTGGAAGACAACTCACTATTACCTTTTTACCATTAAAATTTTATTGCCCAACTGACCAATGCTGTAGGCACCTGATATAATACTCTACAGCCAAATATTAATAATTGTGAGGTAGCAGATTTGGTTTAACTAACGGTGATGCAACGAATGATGTTCCAGCAATCCCTGTACAAAAAAAATGAAATCTGATGCCTCTCAAACATGTTGTCCTGAACTAAGGTCTATTTGACACATGTACATATATTAGGTTGACCCTAGTTATATTCTTATTAACATTTTTGATTGTAACAAAAAAATGATATACAATTTGTATAACTTTTTGGTTGTAAACTCTTAATCCCATATTAACAAAAATTGTT